CATTTTTGGAAAGCAAAACCCTTAAAAAAGGTGGACTCTCTGCTAGTGACATGATTCAAGTCCAGAAAGTTATATAACATGTTTACGAGAAAATTACCAATGTGGATAATGAATCTCAAATCACTAGCTCTTCTAGAAAAAACAGGAGAATGGGAAAAAGAAAAGGATATTACTGTATTGGCAGTGAGGAAAGTCAAACTTTTGTTCTAGGACCAGGGTTTGGACCCCGATATGGACCTCTGAACGACAAAACACTTCATTATACAAGAGTGGTGGTGACTTTGCCCTCTACTACCAGCGGAAGTCCACACGAAGGGTGGGCTGGTGCTCCTGAGTATTCTTTACTACCTTCCTCTATAGTAAAATTAGTTCTAGGAGGCAAACAGAGCCCAAACAGGAGCAAGACTCCTAACAGCCGACTTGGTATGGACTGACATTATCTTTCAATTGAAGTGATTAATTCAGATATAAAATGCCAGAGGTGCCAAAAATATGCATACACATTTTAAGTGATCTTGTTGGAAGTAAAATCAATCATTCCCCCAAAGTATACAATTGCAGGTAAAATGGATGTGGTAACATGTCTAGGTACACTTGACCAGTAATCATACCTTTCGATTCAACTTCAAAAAGTAATACATAGGCTTGGCGCCCGTAGCACAGTGGTTATGGCACCAGCCACATTCACCAAGGCTGATGGGTTCAAACCCAGCCCGGGCCAGCTAAACAACAATGACAATTGCAACAAAAAATAGCTGGGCATTGTGGCGGGCGCCTGTAGTCCCAGCTACTTGGGAGGCTGAGGCAAGAGAATTGCTTAAGCCCAAGAGTTTGAGGTCGCTGTGAGCTGCCATACCACAGCACTCTACCGAGGGCCACATAGTGAGACTCTGTCTCAAAAACAAAAAACAAAAAGTAAATACATAAGTAACATCTCTTAAAATGTGTAAACATTTTTTGGCATCCTCTGTAGAAACCAGTCTCTATGTGTAAACTGTCCCCAGAGGAGCAGAGTCAAGAGCAGAAGATTCCCAAGCAGACGCTGTCTTATGAGATGTGCAGAGAACTGATAACAGGCCAGTGCAGACTTTGCTTCCTTTTTCCGTTGTTGGTGTTTCAAGGACTTTTTTTTTTTTTTTTTTGGAGACATTTGCCTCCTGCATTTTGAAGAAGTGAGCAAAGACACGCCACATTTCCAATGAGCTGAAATAGTCATTCTCCCTCAGAGAGCAACAAGCTTCTTTAGAAGAAAAAAAAGTTCTTTCTATTTCTCTGTTGGATACAACAGTGTACCTTTGGTGCATATTTTTTAGCAATAGTTGTGAATCAATGGCCAAAAAATTGTTTTCAGGGTGGCGTCTGTGGCTCAAGGAGTAGGGCGCCAGCCCCATATACCGGAGGTAGGGGGTTGAAACCCGGCCCAGGCCAACCCTCAAACCACTCACAGCAATATCAAACGCTTGGGCTTAAGTGATTCTCTTGCCTCAGCCTCCCAAGTAGCTGGGACTACAGGTGCCTGCCACAATACCCGGCTATTTTTTTTTTTTTTTTGTAGTTGCCAATGTTATTTAGCAGGCCCAGGCCAGGTTCAAACCCATCAGCCCCTGTGTTATGTGGCAGGTGCCCTAACCAATGAGTATAGGCACAAAGCCATTTTTCAAAGGACTTTTATCTTTGTCTGTTAGCACTTGTTAGAGACACATTGGTCAGGCCACACCTGTCACTGTGTTTTGACCTCAAATCAACACACTCTATAGCTTTCCTAAGAGAGTACATTCCACGCATGCAGTAGCTATGGGAGGCTTTTTCCAAGTTTGTCATTTTAAAAAACCAAATTGTGGCTCAGCGTCTGTAGCTTAGCGGCTAGGGCACCAGACACATACACTGGAGTTGGTGGGTTTGGATCCAGCCCGGGCCGGCCAAACAACAATGGCATCTACAACCAAAAAATAGCTGGACATTGTGACAGGCGCCTGTAGTCCTAGCTACTTGGGAGGCTGAGGCAAGAGAATTGCTTAAGCCCAAGAGTTTGAGGTTGCTGTGAGCTATGATGCCATGACACTCTACCAAGGGCAACAAGTGAAACTGTCTCAAAAAAAAAAAAATTGGTCGGCGCCTGTGGCTCAAGTGGCTAAGGCACCAGCCACATACACCTAAGGTGGCGGGTTCAAATCCCCAGCCTGAGCCCTCCAAACAACAATGATGGCTGCAACCAAAAAACGGCCAGGCATTGTGGCGGGCGCCTGTAGTCCCAGCTACTTGGGAGGCAGAGGCAGGAGACTCGCTTGAGCCCAGGAGTTGGAGGTTGCTGTGAGCTGTGATGCCATGGCACTCTACCCAGGGGGATAGCTTGAGGCTCTGTCTCAAAAAAAAAAAAAATGTCCTCACCATTTAAGATAATTGTTTTTGCTTTTGTTTTTTGCTTGTTTGTTTGCTGAGACTGTCTCACTGTGTCACCCTGAGTAGAATGCCAGGATGTCACAGCTCACGGTAACCTCAAACTGCTGGGTTTGAGGCAATCCTATTGCCTCAGCCTCCTGCATAGCTGTGACTACAGGGACCCATCATAATGCCCAGCTAGTTGTTTTTTGTTGTTGTTGTTGTTGTTGCTTTTCTATTTTTATGGGTCTCGCTCTTGCTCAGGGTGGTCTTGAACTCTTGAGCTCACGCAATCCACCACCACCACTACCAGCAGCACCATCCCTGCCCCTGGCTTCCCAGAATGCTAGGATTATAGGCATGAGGCACTGCACCTGCTAAAGATACTTATTTTTTAAAGAGAATTTGCTGTTGCACAATTTTTGAACCAGCTCACCTTATAGCAAATGATTAATGTTGGGCTTGTTTTTAATACTGCATCTCAGATGTGTTCTTGTAGGAAGATGTATTGGAAATTCCAGGTGTTAGAACCACAGCACTTGGACTGCTGGGCCAGAGTTTGCACAGCCCATGCCTAGCAATGCTGCACCCCCACCCCCATAATGCCCTGGCTGTGCAGAAGCCCCATGGAGGTACAGCTGCTTCACCCCTTCTCCGCTGTGTCCAATGCTATTTTTAGGCAAAGCCAGCTGAGACCACAGGTTCTTGCTCTTGACAAGCAGCATGACATCATCAAAACTTCAGATCATCAGTGGTGCCTGTGGCTTAGTGAATAGGGTGCCAGCCTGAGGCACTGAGGGTGGCCGGTTGGAACCCGGCCCTGGCCAAATTGCAACAAAAAATTTAGCCAGGCATCATGGCAGGCGCCTATAGTCCCAGCTACTCGGGAGACTGAGGCAAGAGAATCGCCTAAGCCCAAGAGTTGGAGGTTGCTGTGAGCTGTAACACCCTGGCACTCTACCCAGGTTGACAAAGTGAGACCCTTGTCTCTAACAAAAAAAAAAAACTTCAGATCATGGTGAAATTTTAATCTCATTCTAACGTCATTTAGAACTTAGTGTGCTGGCCCCACATAGCAGGGGTGCTGAGTTTGAACCTCCAGTGGTCTGATTAACAACAACTACAACAACAAAATCCTATGGTGTCAGAGTAAAATATCAGAGAGTTAATTTGGTATCCATGACCTGGGAGTATACATATTTGGTTCTCCAAAAATCATATGCAGGTTTATTGTATCTCTACCTTGATCTTCTTTTCACTGTTCTTTCTAACAATCTAAAGCTTTCTTAGAATCATTTGGATCTTGTACAGAATATCACTTATTGGGGATAAACACGTCAACTCTTGACAGAAAATACTCTGAATTTCCCCACAGTCATTTGTATTCAGAATAGATCAATGGTCCACCCCCACAAAACTGCATAAGACAAGCCTCCTGTAGAAAGCCAGAAGCACATGTGCCTTCAGAGGGCAGCTTATCCAGTCTCATTGCCTTCCCAGCTTGTGTGTGGCCTGTCCCCCAATAGCAGAAACTGGGGAGGTGGTAGGGGGAAGGGTTTTTTCTTTTCTATATCTTCACAAGTTCAGCTGGAGGTACCTGATGGGCCCAAGTCTACACCTTACTTACTATTTGAGATATTCTGACCCACACAGTGGCAGACACAGGCTTTCCTCACTCCTTTGAAAAGTGGACAGGCCATTTGCCTCCTGCATTTTGAAGAAGTGAGCAAAGACATGCCACATTTCCAATGAGCTGAAATAGTCATTCTCCCTCAGAGAGCAACCAGCTTCTTTAGAAGGAAAACAAGTTCTTTCTATTTCTCTGTTGGATACAACAGTGTACCTTTGGTGCATATTTTTTAGCAATAGTTGTGAATCAATGGCCAAAAAATTGTTTTCAGGGTGGTGTCTGTGGCTCAAGGAGTAGGGCGCCAGCCCCATATACCGGAGGTAGGGGGTTGAAACCCGGCCCAGGCCAAAAACTGAAAAGCAAAAAAAAATTGTTTTCATTTACCAGTCCTCAGTCGTGTTTGCACGAGGAGACTTTGAGATAAAGAAATGGGTTTTGCTGGGCTATTTTGCCCTGCTCCCTTCCTGTCATAGATCTGACTGCCAGCATGATTGTACTTTTACCCCCTCCACTCAAACCAGCAATACAATTTTTTTTTACAGAAAAAAAATGACGATCTGCGATGCCAAAAGAATAAAAAAATCGGTATTTCACAATTGTATATAAAATAACGCTTTTAGTTGAAATATTTCAAAAAAAAACCATAGTGTATAGAGATCCTGAACCCTCAAAATTTAAGAACTGGAGAATTACACAGGCACTGAGCCCGGACTGAAGGAGACAGTGTGATGAAGAGCGCCCAGTGCAGAAGGCGAGGGGTGAGACAAATTTCCAGGTTCCTGGGCAAGGCTGTCACAGTTCAGGGCCCAAGGTACGTCTAGGGGGAAAAGCAGCATATCTGTCTCCAGAGCTTCATTTCTCTAACGTGGTGTCAGTTCCTTCCCCCAGCTCCAGTTCTCACACTCATTGGATAAGGATTTCCGGAGAAGCCAATCAGCGTCGCCACGGATCCTGTTTGTAAAGTCCCCACAGACAAACCTGGACTCAGCGTCTCACCAGACCCCGAGGATGAAGGTCACAGCGCCCCGAACCCTCCTCCTGCTACTCTCCGGGGTCCTGGTCCTGACCGAGGTGTGGGCAGGTGAGTGCGGGGTCGGGAGAGAAATGGCAGGTGGCAGCGAGGGACTCTCCCAGCAGGGAGCCGCGCCGGGAGGAGGGTCGGGCGGAGTCTCAGGCCCTTTCGCCCCCAGGGTCACACTCTCTGCGGTATTTCCACACCGCTGTGTCCCGGCCCGGCCGCGGGGAGCCCCGCTTCATCGAAGTCGGCTACGTGGACAACACGCAGTTTGTGCGGTTCGACAGCGACGCGAAGAATCCGAGGATGGAGCCGCGGGCGCCGTGGATAGAGCGGGAGGGGCCGGAATATTGGGACGAGCAGACACGGCGCGCCAAGGGCCACGCACAGACTTTCCGAGTCAACCTGAGGACCCTCCGCGGCTACTACAACCAGAGCGAGGATGGTGAGCGACCCCGAGCCCCGGGCTCAGGTTAGGATTCCCCTCCGTCCCCCACGGATGGGCCAGAGTCTTCCAAGTCTCTGGATCGGAGCTCATCTCGAGCCCTGGGACTTACCGGACCTTCAACCCGAGAAGAGCTGGGGGAAGTTGGCTCCAATTTCTCTCTGGGTTGAAGTTGGAGGGGGGTGGGGTCTGAGGGAGCGCGGCTGACCGCGGGGCGGGACGGGGCGGGGCGGGGCCAGAGTCTCACACTCTGCAGTGGATGCACGGCTGCGACGTGGGATCGGACCTGCGCTTCCTCCGCGGGTACGAGCAGTTCGCCTACGACGGTGCGGATTATCTCTCCCTGAACGAGGACCTGCGCTCCTGGACCGCGGCGAACTCAGCAGCTCAGATCTCAAAGCACAAATCAGATATGACTGGTGAGGCGGAGTTCCAGAGGGCCTACCTGGAGGAAGAATGCGTGGAGTGGCTCCGCAGATACCTGGACAGCGGGAAGGACGCGCTGCAGCGCTCGGGTACGAGGGACTTGGGGCCCATCTCCTTTGACCAGGGGCTGTGCCAGTAGCCAGCAGCCCTCCAGAAAGTGGAGGAAAATAGGACAGAGCCAATATATCGCTCCTCGCTGGAATCGGGAGAGGAAGTCCACTTGGGTTTCTTGATTCTGTACCAGAGCGCGCCTCACCCAAAGGGCCTGCCCTTCTCTGAGAGGCAATTAAGGAATCCAGTCTCTCTGAGGATGCACAGGGAGACCACCCTTGAAATAACTCATCAGCGGTTCTCTTTGTCTCTGCCAGCAATCCCTAGGGACTTTCAGGCCTTTTCTCTGCCCAGCTCCTGTATCTCTCAAAGTCTCACCCTTGCTTTTCTAAGTGAACTCGGACTCCACCCAGGTCAGGACCACAAGTCCTCCTTGTCCGCCAGAGAGACCTGGTGCCTCCTACACTAGGCTATCTCATCACAATTCTAGAACTTTCTAGTGAATAGGGGATTATCCCAGATGCCTGAGTTCAAGCTGGTAACTAGGAGTTTTTTCCCCGTTTGAGTTTTGTTTTGTTTCGTTTTCCAGTTTAATACAAGGGTACAGATGATTAGGTTACTTTATTTGTGTTTGTTAGGTAAAGTCCAAGTTGTAGTTGTGCCCCTCACCCAGGAGATGTGCCATAGATTCCTGCATTGTGCCTGTTAGGTGAGAGCACACCAGTCCCACTGGTAGCTACGTTTTATGCTCCCCACTCCCACCCTAATTGTCCTGTTCCTTAGGATGATCAGAAGTATGGGTGGAGTGTCCCATGAAGAATGCAAATGTTTCTTAATTTTCTGATCCTTTCAGACCCCCCCAAAATATATATCACCCACCACCCAGTCTCTGACCTTAAGGCCACACTGAGGTGCTGGGCCCTGGGCTTCTACCCTGCGGAGATCACACTGACCTGGCACCGGGATGGGGAGGACCAAACCCAGGACATGGAGCTTATAGAGACCAGGCCTTCTGGGGACAACAGAACCTTTCAGAAGTGGGCAGCTGTGGTGGTCCCTTCTGGAGAGGAGCAGAGATATACGTGCCGTGTGCAACACAAGGGGCTGCAAGAACCCTTCACTCTGAGATTGGGTAAAGAGGTGGATGGAGAGGGTGTTATGTGTCTTCTTGGGGAAAGTAGGGGCCTCTAGAGCCCTTCAGAGGGTAAGGGCTAAGGCCTAGGGTCAGACCACTCACCTTCTGGTCCTTTCCCAGAGCAGCCTTTGCAGCCCCGCATCCACAGGCTGGGCATCACTGTTGTCCTGATTTCCCTTGGTGCTGTGCTCACTGGAATTGTGTTCACCACTATAATGAGGGCAAAGAGTTCAGGTAAGGAAGGGGTAAGGGGCAGGATATGGGTTTTCTTGCCCCAACAGGGGTTTTAAGCCCAGGCAGAAGTGTGCCCTGCACCATTACTAGGAAATACCTTCCACATACACCCAGCCAGGGGTCCTATGTGCCAACACTTAGTGTTTTGTAAAACTATGTCACAGTGAAAGGCAGAGGTGAATTCTGATGATTGTGGTGATGGGGACCTCATTCCCAGCAGTCACAGGTCGGAGGGGAAGGACCTTGCTCAGAACAGACCTCTAGGAGGGCAGTTAGTCAAATCACTCATTTCCTCTTCTATCCTGATCCTGCCCTGGGTCTACAGAAACCTCTTTGGGGTCCAAGACTAGGGGGTTCCTCTAGGTCATCATAGTCCTGCCTCCTCCCTGGCCTCTCACAGAACATTTTCTTCCTACAAGTGAAAAAGGAAGGAGCTACTCTTAGGCTTCAAGCAAGTATGGGAAGGGGTGAACTTTGAGAAATGTGGATAATATAAACAGGAGCTCACCCACCCCATAATTCCTCCTGCTAGTTCTATCTCCTGTGGCCTCTGACCAGGTCCTGTTTTTGTTCAACTCAAGGCTCTGATGTGTCTCTCACAGCTTCTAAAGATGAAACCCTATCAGGCCTGACCCAGGAGGGGGTGGAACAGAGGGGACAAGATGCCCAAACCCAGAGAAACCCTACAACACAAGCATGTCCCCTTTTTTTTGTAATAAAAAAGAAAATAGTCACCTGCAATCCTGCCTGACACAGTAATTTTACTTAAATTTTTTTATTCTTTCCAGCGTGACCAAGATTGGTTTGACTTTGGGAACCTGCGTGGAAAAACATTTCAGCTAAAAGTGCAGGAAGCCCCACCAATCCCTTGAGAGTTTTGCCTTTCTTAAGGAGCTCTGATGAAATTCTCTTGCCTCGGCCTCCTGAGTATCTGGGACTACAGGCACCTACCACAACACCCAGCTATTTTTTGTTGCAGTTTGGCCAGGGTCAGGTTCGAACCCTCTACCCTCGGTATATGGGGCCGGGGCCCTACCCACTGAGCCACAGGCTCTGCCCAGAAATTAATATTTAAGCTAAAAAAATTAATTATATTTTAAATTTCCTAATGAAACAATTATAAAACTACATGCAAAGTGACATAAGTTGTAGCACAAATAAGTTCTCTTAATCACTATGATAATTTCCAAATTAATTATAGATGTCTAGAAATTTATAGCATTTTTGAGGTAATTATTAGCTAAGTGATGTGCCTATGTGAGCCATGATTTGATAAAAGCCGCATAAAACCTTCTGACAATTTTCTCATTAGCTGGCTTATGACATATGTAACATCAACGGTATTATTCATGGTACTAAATGCTCTCTCCAGCAGCTCCACTAAAGTTTCTTTAGCCTTAGAAATTCTTATGTATTTAATATTTCTGTTCACTCAACCACAAAAACTGCTACTAGCTAGCAGCCATATTTATTCAGTAGGCTTAGTTTTACTAATTAAATAAAACTGTATTATTTAATTACATCTCTGTAGTTTGTAAACGTCATTCACAGTTCATGAAATTTAAATTTTTTAAGTTCTTTATATTTTTTATTTGTCATCAAATTATAATCACATAAATTATTAGATTATATAATTGATTTTTTTCTCTTGTTATAAATTTCCACACTTCTTCTTTCAGACCCCCTTAGAATGTTGTCTTTGGAAAACTCTAATTGCTTCCTGATAACCATTTCTTTTCCATCAACAGCTGCCTTTCATGCAGATTCAGTCACAAGATTTTCCAGTTCTGCTCCAAAAAGCCCACAATACCTCAGGCTATGGTTTCTGCATCAACGGACTGATCAAACTGTATTTTATTGCAATACCATTTCACAATTTCTGTTTGACCTCTTACATCTGGCCTTGGAACTGAAACTTGCATATCAAAATGACCAGGACAAGAAGGCACCCATAGTTCAGTGGGTAGAGTGCCGGCCACATACACTGAGGCTGGTGGGTTCGAACCCAGCCCGGGCCTGCCAAACAACAATGACAGCTACAACCAAAAAAAATAGCCAGGCATTGTGGCAGGCACCTTTAGTCCCAGCTACTTGGGAGGCTGAGGCCAGAGAATTGCTTAAGCCCAAGAGTTTGAGGTTGCTGTGAGCTATGACACCACAGCACTCTACCCAAGGTGACAGCTTGAGACTCTATCTCAAAAAAGAAAAAAAAATGAACAGGACAAATTAAGGCATTATCTAATGCCTCTGGCAAGTTTATGACTTTTATGATGATAACCTTCATTGGGTTTAAAAACGTTCATTTCAACAAGTTGATTTAGTCTGACTTGAATATGGATGCATTGGAGAGTCAGTCCTCTCCCCACCAACAGAATCTAGTTTATCAGTAAATATAACAGAGGAGCATTTGCTTTTGCTTCCCTAAAAATATTTCTGCCATGACTGGCTCCCACACCCACAACCATCTCAACAAATTCTGGTCCAGAAGTATAAAAAAGCAACCTTAGCTTCTTCTGCCATAGCTCAGGCAAGAAGTGTCTTTCCTGTCCCTGGTGATCCAGCTAAAAGAATTCCTTTTGGAAGCTTCCTTCCAAATTCTTGTGGACTTTTTAAGAACTCAGTAACTTCCTGTAATTCTTGTTCAGCTTCCTCTACCCCTTTTACATGTTCAAAGGTAACATTTTTCATCTGGACACACTCCACTGCAGAATCAGACCCTGTTGTTGCCCAGTAGACAAATAAAAATGGACTTTTTTATAAATCCATAAATAGCATAAATAGCAGCAGAACAAAGAGAATCAGATGGATTCACCTTAGGGAATCACTGGGTTTTTGAGTTAATGCTTAAGCCTTCAGAAAACCTTCTGCAAAACCAGTTTTAAATGCTTTCTGGTTAACTTCACGTATGTTTTTGATTTTCATGACAGTTTGTCCAAACTCTCAACATCTGATCCTTTGTCCTACAAAGGAAAACCCTTCGTGAATGATGGTGCCATGTTCTGTGTTTTGGTGAATCTTTCAGAGGTGGACTGCAGATGTCGTGTTCTTGATTTTAAAGTTTTGAAACCCCAAGACTGTATAAAACTGGCCAGTACTGAAGATCTGAACAAAGATTTGAAGAGCTCTTAAATGATGTCTGTATAAGCAAGAGGAACATAAGGGACTAAATATATCTAAGTAACCATATTTATTTTCAAAGAAGGACTGTGCAGAACATGAGATCTATGCCAATAGGAAGACATTTTTTTGCCTTTAGAAAATCCAGTAAGCAGATTTCCTCCCAGTTGATCAATCTGTCCAACTTTTCATTCAGATACTCCAAAGTCCCTTAAGTGTGGCCTCATTGCTGGGATCCTCATGCTCAGGAACTACATCTCAGTGTTGGTTTGAGAAACTGATGTTCCTCTGACAGAAACAGATGTGGAGTTTTTGGTGAATGGAAGGCATTAATGAGATCACTCACAGGACTTATAACCTCTAACTGTACATTCAGTTAATGGTAAATTCTCTTAAAATCAGGCCTTCTCAATGTGAACTGGGGTTGCACTATGCTTGGCAGGGAAAACATCTCTTTGGGGCCCTCAGCGACCACCTGCCCCTCTGTCCCCAGCCCTCCAAAGATGCGTTAAGCCCCTTTCCTTCTTTTTTCTCACCCCTACCCTCTCAGTCCTCCCAGAAACAGAACATAGCCTCCCCTTCCTGCAGCTGCTGCAATGACAATCTCTATAATCTTTTTAAAAGCCTCTGTTTAGCATGAAAAATACTCTAATTATATAGTAGATAGTATTATTCTGATAGCACTTTTGAATGTTTTCTTCATTTTATGATAAAACAAAAATTATTTCAGGTTTTATTTCAAAAATTTTATTGTGTGAAGCTCATTCTTAATCTTTAAATTCGGCTCAGTGCCTGTGGCTCAAGTGGCTAAGGCGCCAGCCACATACACCTAAGGTGGTGGGTTCAAATCCAGCCTGGGCCCGCCAAACAACAATGACGGCTGCAACCAAAACATAGCTGGGCGTTGTGGTGGGCACCTGTTGTCCCAGCTACTTGGGAGGCTGAGGCAGGAGACTCGCTTGAGCCCAGGAGTTGGAGGTTGCTGTGAGTTGTGATGCCACAACACTCGACCCAGAGGGACAGCTTGAGGCTCTGTCTCAAAACAAACAAACAAAAAAAAATCTTTAAATTCTTCTTGATTATTGCTTATTTTTTCACTGAATTATGAGCAATAACAATATGCTGGCTCAGCACCCAAAGCACAGTGGTTATGGAGCCAGCCACATACACTGAGGGTGGCGGATTCAAACCTGGCCTGGACCAGTTAAAACAACAGCAACAAAAACATAGCTGGGCGTTGTGGCAGACACCTGTAGTACCAGCTACTTGGGAGGCTGATGCAAGAGAATCGCTTAAGCCCAAGAGTTGAAGGTTGCTGTAAGCTGTGATGCCACGGCACTCTACCAAGGGCAACATAGTAAGACTCTGTCTCAAAAATAAATAAATAAATAAAATGTATTTCAGCTTCATTTTTCACTTCATTCTTACTGTTTAGTTTTCCAAGTTCTTGAATTTATAGATATCAGAACACTGCACAGTTACTATTTCCAGAAGAATAAGCACACTAACAAGAACAAAAAGAAAATCAAACAGATTCACTATTTAGAAGTGACAGCAGTAGGAGGATGATGATTATTAACTGATGATTTTCCTAAATCACAAAAATTGTTCTTGCCATCATGTGACTGAACTGGCAAGTGGTAATACAAATATTTCTGAGATGTTGCAGTGGTAAGAGACCCACTCATTGATGGCTACTGTGATAGCCTAAGACCAATAGCTAATGAATTTGTTTTAGAATTTATAATATTTAGTAATTTTACCACCTATCAGTTATTCTTGTGTTTTCCCTAACAGTAAGTATAATTGTACAAGTGGGTACTGGCTGAGAGTACCACAAAGGGCTGTTTGAGCATGAGCTAATGGGTTAGGACTTTTAAAACTTAAGCACTGAATTAATGAGGTTTGGGAATCAGGTGGACACTTTTAGAAATTACAATAATAAGGGCCCCTAGGGGGCAAGATTCTCTTGATTTTAACATTTGGCTCTTATGAACTTGGGGGTCTGAGGGGATGGTATATTTCCTTGATTTCCTTCAGCTGAATGAACAGAGGTACGTAACTGAATTTAAATAAAAAAGAGAAATTGCCTTCACTTGGATAGCTGTGAAGGGTGTTGGTAGCTGTGGTATTGCCTCTGGTAGTCAGGCCAGGTATTGGTAGGCTACAGTCCGCAGCTAGTTGTTTTCATTTGCTTAATGCACATGGTTTACCAGCACTCTCTGAACTTAGAAAACAGGATGTGAGCAGGTATGTGTTACTATCTAGATCAGTGGTTCTCAACCTGTGTGTTGTAACCCCTAAGACCATTGGAAAAACACATCCTGCATATCAGATATTTACATTACAATTCATAACAGTGGCAAAATTACACTTACGAAGTAGCAACGAAAATGATTTTATGGTTGGGGGTCACCACAACATGAGGAACTGTATTAAAGGGTCGTGGCATTAGGAAGGTTAAGAACCACTGACCAGATCATCACTGCCCAACACAAACAGAATGAAAGCCACATATTTAAATATTTCCAGAGGCCATATTAATAAAGTACAAAGAAGTGAAAATAATTTGAATAATATATTTTATTTAGCCCAATTATCCAACATATTAGCATTGCAATGCAACATGTGCTCTGATATAAAAAGTTATCCATGAGATTTTTTGCACTATATTTTCATCCTAAATCCTTGAAACCTGAAGTGTATTTTATATTCAGTTTTTCTGTTGCTCTAGCCACATATCATTTTCCTCCGCTTAAAATGGGAGAAAATAGTACCTACTCGGCTCAGCGCCTGTGGCTCAAGTGGCTAAGGCACCAGCCACATACATCTAAGGTG